ATTGAAGCCATTAAATTAGATTAGATAGATCATGATTAATATATTTGTTTACTTTTTTTTTTAGTGATTTGTTAATTAAAAGTAAGTTAGTGTCATCAGCAAAATGGTAAGAAGTTGTATATTTTAATGATAAATTAAGGTCGTTAATGAAAACAAGAAAAAGCAATGGTCCTAATACAGAGCCTTGAGGTACACCTGTAGTGCATTTTACTAAAAAAGATGTGTTACCGTTAATAAATACAAATTGAAATCTATTATATAGATATGAGGTAAATCATTGGAGAGAAATTCCTCTAATGCCATAGTTATCCAGTTTACTTAGAAGAATAGAATGATCAACAGAGTCAAATGTATTCTGTAGATCAACAAACACACCAGAAGCAAAAAGCTTATTGTCAAGAGCTTTTCTGATAACCTCAGTGATTTCGATAGGTGCATGAGTTGTGGAATGCTTGCTTTGAAACCCATATTGGTGTTTGTAAAGATATTGATATTTATCTAAAAAGTTGTAAAGTCTGTTCTGCATAGCCTTTTCAAATATTTTACTGATGTTTGAAAGTATTGAAACTGGGCGATAAGTAGTGTGGTCAGTTCTAAAGCCTTTTTTTATAAAGTGGAATAACTTTAGCTATTTTAAAGACATCTGAAAAAAGTCCATTTTCAAAAGAGCTTTTTATCATTGTACAGAGAGGCTTCGAGATGATATGGGAAACAAGTTTGAGAAGAAACGTGGGAATACTATTGATACCTAAACTTTTTTTAATTTGCAAACTTTTTATAAGATTTGATACTTCATTTTTAGTGACTGGATCTATAAAAAAGGAGTTAATATTTGGGTTATTTAAATAGTCTGAAAAATTACATTTAGGTGAAACATTTTTTGTTAAAAGTGTTTGTTGAATATTTACAAAGTAATTATTAAATATGTTTGATACAGCTTTGCTATCTGAAATTGTATTGCCATTAAATTTGAGATTAAAAGATTTACTGGAAAAGGAAGAAGGTTTGATATTAATAATTTCTTTTAAACCTTTCCAAGTATTTTTTACATTCTAAAGATTATTGTTAAAAAAGTTGATGTAACATGGTTTTTTAGAAAGTTTTAGTAAATTGCAAAAGTTACTTCTGTACCATTTAAAATTATCAAAATTATGAATTTCAATGTTATGATTTTTTGCTTTTACATATTGTTTATATAGTTTGTTTCTAATAGATATTTATTTTAGAATTCCATTGGTGATCCACGGTTTTGATTTAATTTTTAATTTGTTTGGCAGTTAGTTTTTTATAGGGTGCATGTTAATCAAGAATTTTGTTAGAAGTTTTAAAAAAAATACTGCAATGATTCATTGACATTATTGTTATTTGTAATTTGTATTTGCCAGTCTGCATTAGATACATTCTGAGTAAATTTTTTATTACCAAAATTTTGAAAGGTTCGTCTGAATATTACCTCCTTAGTTTTTTTGGGAGAACGACAAGGAATGCTGATAAACTGCGCCATATGATCAGAAATCGATATTGTAAGATTGCTTGAAATTAAATCAGGAATTTGGAAATTTAAAAAGATATTATCAATGAGTGTCTTAGATGTAGCAGTTATATGTGTAGGTTGAATTATAGAAGGGAAAAATAATTAGAACACAATGTATCAAGATAACTAGAGACAACTTTCGATTCATTATAAGGACAAGGACAACTTGTTAAATTTCTAAACTAAGCCTCTCAAGCAAGGGATTAAAATGATCAGTAATTAATTCATTAGAGTTCATCGATGGATGTCGATATAATGCCTACAATAATATTTTGTTTTAGGGGATTGACGATTTGAACAAAGATAGATTCCAGATATTTCGGAGAGTTTACAATTAGATCACTACGAATAAAATAGTTTAAGTTTGAGCGTAAATATAGAAGAGCACCACCTTTTTTAATCTCAGTAGGACTATGCTCAATAGTAAAACCATTTATATTAACATCAGTTTTACTGGAATCGTTAATATTTAGTCTTGATTCAGAGATAGCAATTACAATTGGAAGAGTGGTAAGATAGCTTATTAGACTGTGAAGATTGTCGATGTGATAAGGAAGCAAAGCAATGTTTAGATGTAGGTATAAATTACAATTATTATTAAGAGCTTTATTAAGTTCAAGAATGTCATAATATTTACAGTTATTACTTTTGTTGGAGATTTTTTTTATATTATTGAATAATTTTTTGAAGTGAGGTGGAGATTTTAGAGATTTTAAATTATTGGTTGGTATAGTCTGAGACGATAAAGTTAATCAAAAAGTAAACAATATCAGAAAGTGAACAAAATGGCAAATTTTGTTGATGCAGTCACTGCAATACCAGTCAGTAGAATCTTTTTCAATAAGACTAATGGTGTGTTTGTTGATATAATTACATTTAGGGTGCAACCAAGAAGAGCAGTAATTTCATAGAATTCCTTTATCAACCACTGTTTTATAGCAGAATTTACAAAGATTTCTTATTAACATGACTTATTATGCTTAAACAAAGTATAAAGAAAAAATAATTAAACAAAGATATCAACTATATATTTATAAAGAAACTGAGAGATTAAGGCGAAAATGTTAATCTAGAAATGGTTGCTATTTTAATTACTGAGGAATAATCATTTATAAAGAAATGATAGTAAGATATAAGAGATTTAAATACTTTAAACAGGAGAATAAGTATTACAGGTAGATAATATTAAAATATTATTAACTTGATTTAGAATATAAATTTAGATATATTAATAACTCTAGTAGCTTTAGACATAGTATAATATAAATAATATATGTAATTTAAATAATTTGATGATAATAAGGTAAGTAATAATAAGTAAAAAAGGAGATTAGTTGTATTATTAGGTAAATAACATTTATATGAGATAAATAATAATGATGTAAATATTAATAAGAAGCAAAAAATGGATAAATATAGGATAAATAATGCTATATTATTTAATAATAAGGACAAATATTTAATTATAATAATAATAACAATGATAACTGCTAATAATAATAATCAAAAAGTCGATAATAAAAACAAATCCTGGAAAATACTTAAATTTACAAGTAATATTTAGAGCAAAAAATAATCAAAACAAATGTAAAAAACTCTTGATCTTTTCCTTTCATTAACTTAATTCTTTCTTTACTTTCTCTCAGCCTAATAATTTTGAAATGTATCTTGTTCTTTAATTCTATTTATTTGAGTCTATGAAGTTCTTACACGTCTCTAAATTTTAAGTACTTTGGTTTTCTAATTAATTTCCCAATATATTTTTTATTTACTTTTCAGTCTTTTTCTTTTTCTATAAATATTTTTCCTTTCAATTGCTGTCATGTAAAGATATATTACTTTATTTGATAAACTTTTCTTATTTACAATTTTATCTATAACTCTGCCATCTTTACCACGCGAGAAAAAAAAGATGGTCAAGAAGTGGTTGTCTTGACACCACTGCTTGACTACATTTGCAAGGTGTTTCGGATCGTTGTCATGCTAAAAAACCCATTTTATTGGCATATTTCATGAGATATCATAACATCTTTCAGGATCTTTTTATACATGAAACGGTCCAATATTCCATCGATTCGATGTATCGGACCTAGACCGTTAGCAGAAAAACACCCCCAAACCATTACATTGCCTCCACCATGCTTGATGGTCTTGTGGCAGTAACGTAAATCGAGGCATTTTCCAGCCGGTCGACATACACGGCAAATGCCAATGCTCCCATCGCTGATGTTGAACTTCAATTCATCACTGAACATGACAGTTCGCCATTTCAGTACATTCCAGTCAATATGAGATGTAGTAAACAGGAGTCTTTTGTTCTGGTTCTTTAGTGAAATCAGCGGTTTCTCTGAAGGGCGTCGAGAAAACAATCCGGCTTCAACAGCACGTCGTCTGATTGTTCGGTCCGATACAGGCAGCTCTAATTGCTTTTACATCTGGACTGATGATATCCAGGGATCTTTCTTGACGGATCTGACGATCATAAATTCCTCTCTAAAAGTGTTGGAACGCGGTTTTCCACCTTTGTTATCTGATGCCAACTTCCCCGTAGAACGATATTCGGAACATAGTCTTGATACGGTTAATTTTTTCACGCGATATTTATCACAGATACTTTTCTGTGACATTCCACTTTCGTAATCGCCAATAATTTTTTTTTTAGTTACAATCCAAGACTTTCGGGAGCCATTTTTGCACTTGAAGTCATAAAAATAATAAAAATAGATAATCTCGCCTCTCAAGGCTTACCGTGTTACATTTACCTTGTGATAATACAATAATGCTTTGTTGAACACAACGTCTTGATTGGATGTGGATTGTATTAATGTAATGAAACACTTGTTGTATTTCACTTCTTGTATTGATGTTCTTCGAAAAAACTCATTTCGATAAACTGTCTTGATAATACTGACTGATTGACTTCCATATAATGACTGAATTATATGTCGTTTACATGTCTCTTATATAGTGAAATGAGTCTGTGTGAACTTGTTCTGGAAGATTCTAGATGCTTCTTTTCGATGCTTCTAGAGGCTTCTAGATGCGTCTAGATGCTTCTGAATGTTTTGGATACTTCTGGATGCTTCCAGATGCTTCTTCCGGAAACTTATGGGGGCTTTTGCATGCTTTTGGAAACTTCTGGATACTTCTTTTTTCTTGATTGTTTTGAATTATTATCAGTTTAGATCAAACAAGAAATATTTCAATTTCAATGTTTTTAATTTCTCTGTTTAATTGACAAGTTATTTAATACAAGATTGCTTAATTTGTTCAATTTAAATTATGTACCTTTTTACCCTAATGTATTTACTTCTTCAACCAACTACTTTTTGTTTAAAATAATTTGATAACTAACATCTTTATTATATTAGAGAACAAGTGTAATTTATGTTAATAATGTTGTAGATAAACTGTATAATAATGTTGTAGGTAAACTGTATATATAACAACATTTAATTTTACTTACTCTATAGAATGTATAACAACTTCAAAATTTACTTTATGATTTGTGTATAGTTTTGCTATCTAAATAAATAATATGTTTTAAATATTTTACAATAACAATAAGACATAAAACAACTTATAAATAAACTAAATTCTTACCGCATCATGTAGTTTATTTTTAAGCGATAAGAATCCTGTACTAGTAGAATGCCAATCGTTATATTTTTCACCAAGAAAATTCATATTCAATTTCAAATTTACGCCTTAATAAGCAACAATATTTTTATGAGAAATACTATATCACTTTACCATTTAACAACATTATAAGCAATGTTAAACAGATATAATTTGGTGTAGCGTGAAAACTGGTTTTAAAACTTAAAAGTTAATATAATTGTAATTTAATAAATCCATCAAACCAAAAATCTGTACAACATATTTTAAAATGAGTAACTTAAAAAATATTTAGTTAAAAAATGCTAGTGCAGAAAAAAAAGCAAGAAATTTTAAGTTTGATGGTTGATAAAGACTGATGCAGAAATAATTGTACAATTGTAAACTAAAAACCCTAGTGATATTTTAAAAAAGTTTTAATTTTTAATTCTCTGATTTTTTACTTTTACAGTTATGAGATGTACAATTGACAAACTCCTCAAAGCTGCCATTACATTTCTGACCACCAAAGTTTGGTACAGGGTTTGAGCAGCTTCGAAATCTTGATTGTAAACCGCCTCCACATGGTTGGCTGCATAATGACCAAGATGACCAAAGTGACCAATTGCCATTTACTATAAAAATATACATTTTTTTTTTTTTTGCATTTAAAATCTAAAAACTTAAACCAAGTAAAAAAACAAAAACAGTTGAAATACAACTAACGTGGACAAATTTTATCATTATTACAAACTTCGGTATAATTGCTGGCACCTATACAATCTCGGCCATTATATGATGGGGGTGGATTATCACAACGTCTACTCAAAAACTTAATTCCGTTTCCACATGTATTTGAACATTCTGAGTTGCTCCATTGCCCCCACATTCCATTTTCTAAAAATTATTTGATCTTTTAATAAAGATCTTGTTACTCTGATATTAAAAGATATAAAGTATTCAATTGATGTGTAAAAACAAATTAAAAATCATAAAAAAAACTTATAAACAAATATATGAAGCAACGCATGAAAAAAACACAAAAATTGAAAATATTAGTAAAAAAACAAACATGTTTATAGATGACTTATACAAGTTTTCTTTCTTTATTCTTAAGCTAATTTAAAAATAACTGCACTACCAATTAAATAAACCTAAAAGTAATACTGTTAAACCCTAACCTAACTTTACAAATTTTGTAGTCTTTAAAGTAACCTTTCATCAGATGAATCTGACTTTTTGCAAAATTCAAAAAATAAGACTTACTTGAACTTATCTGTTACTTCTTCCAATCTCAGCACTGATGGCTACTATCCATTAGCAAAGATTTAAGTAGTTACATGCTTGGCTAGAGCATATACTTGCGCATCAGTTCACTAAGTTTTCAAGATCAGGTTTGAATCCTTTGACTATTTTTTTATGTATTTTGCAACTTTTTAATCAATTTCTATTCTCTTTGTTCTTTACCGCTATCATTTTTCTAAAGACTACAGTCTTTAAAATGTAATTTCAAATTGACCACGCTTTTTCTTGTTATCACTCAGCTAATTATTTTATTACTAGTAACACCAATCATTCTGCAGGCACCAAAGCTCGTTCCTTCTGTATTTTTTGATACTTCTCGTACTCAAATAGTTAACTTTGTGACTTAATTTTATCTCATATCTTTATTCCTTTATTCGTGTCATGTCTCTGACCCTAACTTGTGTTTAGTTTCTCCTAGGTCACCTTTCAGTTCAAACTTTGCAATAATCTATATAATTTTTTTTTCAAACTTTTATAGACTCACTTTATAATTGCAATACTTACTACTACCTTAAAACATGTTCATTAACTTCTTAAAACGATGTCATTTGTAATCCTCTGAAAAGTGCGCATCCAACCCATGGTATATTGTTAGTTTCAATTCAAGTCTTATTTTAATTGACGGTTTTCTCCGTTATTTACACCTTCTATATCCAGTATTTTTGACTTTTACTCAAAAAAAAAATTTCTTAAGAACAAACTCTCAAAAAACTAAAAATCTTCCTGCCATTCCAGTTAAACAAATAACCTTTTGTTATATATACAAACTTAATTACAATCAATTTGATTTTTGATCTTCTCAATCTACAGCTGACTTGTTAACTATTCTAACCAAAACTTCTGTAAAGGTTAGGAGCTTGCAGTGGCTTATGAATTTTCACTCCAACAAAACGTTATTTACTTCAAACAACTACCAAAATATTGTTTACATTCCTATATTGACGAACAACAGAACACACACACATAAATTTATTACAAGATAGTAATTTTGCAATAAAAAAGTTTTTTTTATAATGCCTTTTATTTTATATAGCATTTTATTTTATACAATAGTTTAATGCAATGTTATAGGTAATAAACAAATCACTAGATCTGCTACATCACATTATATATAAGAGTATTAAGAGTATATTAAAGTAAAATTCACACAATGAAATGCTGAAAATAGTAAAAATTATAGAAATGCGACTTTGAAAATGCAAAAAACTTCAGTGAGGATTGATGTTGGACATAAGACTTAGAGAATAAAACTGATATAGAAAATTTATATCAGATATATTGAAAGCTTTCGACACATTTCACAACTATCTCCTACTTTTAAAATTAAAAGCTAACTCTAAAATTAAAAACTAACTAAAAATAGATAACTAACTCTATAATTGAATTTGAATGTTACCTAAGAGATCGGCATTAAAGTATTATTGTTAGTGGTACATACTCAGAATGGATAATTGTAAATAGTGTGGTCCCCCATTATTTACTTTTATGATATATAATAATGATTTTTCTGATTTGGTTTTAGATGTTGTATCTGTATTTACAGATGATATTAAGTTATACAGTTTGCTTTTCGATAGCTCACGATGCAATAACCTGCAGTAAAGTATGGACATTATAGCAAACTGGGCAAACCTTGGGACCATTTTGTATTTGTTGGCCCTTAGGACCAACAAATACAAATTTGATTTATATACTCGTTGATAAAAGTCTCAATAGTTCAATTAATATTAAAAACTCTCTCGTCAATAAAGGGATCTTCATTGACAGTAATTTGACTTTTATTTTGTAAGTACTAAGAATAACACCGCCAATAAATTTGTAGGAATGATCAAAAGATCATTTGTCAATCTCAATATCTTGACTTTTGTACTTTATTTATTTTCCTTGTTTGTCCTTACCTTGATTTTTTCAGCTCTGTCTACTATCATAGACTTTAAAAAGATCAACAATTAACTTAAAATGTTCTTTGCTAGTCTAGTAAAAATTTTTTTTGGTTAGACTGGACTCACTTACAACCAAAGACTACTGAGACTAAATTTAACTAGCATGAGGTATCGTTTTTTATGTAATGACATGGCAGGAACATACAAATGCATTCACAGTTTTTATAACTGTTGTTGCAACCCTTTTGTTTCCTCATTAAATACCATTTAGTATTTTATCTATTAACACCTGTGTCAGAACGATGTCATCTACACAGCCATTATATTTATTATTGTAATTACAGACCATTAAGTAGTTAATCTGAGTTGTAATAGCATGCGTGTTAATATGGATACTTCTTAATATTAATATATGATTATATATTGAGTTAGTATTTATTCCTCCATTATGACTAACTCCAACTTAACAACATGCAATCATTCTTATAAATTGAAAAAAATGTTTTGTAAGTCAGATGTCCGAAAAAAACATTTCTAATATGGAATTTACAAATTTGTAGAATAATCTATCTTTTGAAATAGTGTTCAACATCTGTCACAAAATTTAAAAAAGATCTAGATGCATATTGGGTTCATCAAATGTACTATTGCATATAAACAGTTAGACCGACACAACTAGATACAATAGAACATAAGGTTGATAGGCTTTTTTATTTACCTAATTATTCTATTTGTAAGTTTATAACCTTAGAAAATAATAATAATAACAACATTAATAATAATAACAATATGTTATATTAAAACTCTTATAATTAAACACCGAATAATTAAAATTAATTAAACACTGAATAAGTTTTATGTTTTTTTACTTAGTGTCGTATATTAAAAACACTTTTTTTTTTCTAAGGTTATAAACTTACAAATAGAATAATTAGGTATATAAAAAAGTCTATCAACCTTATGTTATATTGTATCTAGTTGTTTTTTTTTAAGTGTTCCTTAACTGAGAATATTCTATGCCTGGCTAAATCATTCAATTGAGCATGAGATCCTTATCTCATGCTAATTTCAATCTCGTAATCTCGGGGTAAATATTTACTTAGAGTCTCAAGTTGTTTTTCTTCCTTAATGTCATATTTAAATGACAAAATATTATCATAGAAACCTTTCAAAAACGCGCAAACTTTAAAATTTACTTTTTTTTACTAAGCAATATATAAACTCTATTTGAAATAAAAAGCGATTATATTAAACACTAAGAAATAAAACTCAATAAATTTTAGACTGATATTTTCAGTTAAAGAAAACAATAATCTGAAAAAAAAAGTTATCTGAAGTTTTTTTATATCATAAATTTATTTGTGATTATTTTTAAGCTGATACACCGTTAAACTGAAGGTGGTAATAAAGTTTACAAAATTTGCTCTGGCTAAATTTTTTAATGAAAAAACAATATGTGTGCCATAAATGTAATCTGTTTTTCATGGCGGATCAATAAAAGTTTGGTGTATTGGCCAAATCACTTGCAAGCATCTTGCCTTTAGGCTTCTATACGTAAAGTCACGCTTTTAAAAGCAACTGGAAGCAGCTGAGAATAAGAGTATTTTGGTAATTGTCTTATTTACAATATTGTTTTTGTTTAATTTACAGTATTGTCTTTGTTTTTTATCTAAACAGCTATGTTTGACTCAAATATAGTAAATCTTGATTGTTTAGTATGGTTTTATCTCTTCTTTATTCTTTTTTTTGACAGTTATGAGACTGCTTTGGAGTGGAATTATCTGTGCCTCCAGCTTAAAAGGATGTAGGTTACAAAAAAAGTGACACTGATGACATTGTCTCTCAGTTTCTCAAAGATTGAAAAAACCCTTAGTGTTTTAGGGTTAAGTGATTCCATCAGAGCTTTGCTTGACTATCTCTTTCGATTTATTGAATTTATTTGCCGGTTATAGAGGAAAAAAGATCTTCTAAACCTCGAAGCAAAAATCATGGAACAATGGCACCTTATGAATCAATAGTATATATCAGTGAGTTGATATTAGTTAATAGTTTTTGGAAACAGTACCATGTGCTATTAAAGTTTCTAATTTTCAAAATATATGATACATTTATATGAAACATACAAACAAATGATACAATATGATACGTGATTGACTATAATTATGTTGTATATTAGAATGTTTTATATAAATGCTTATTACATTTTATTGTGATTTTTATCTTTTATGCCCAGTTAGCAATATATTTTGTGTAGCAATGACTACTAATCTCAGATATCTATGACATCTGTAGGGTGTATTCACCGCTACAAATGTCATAATCTATTTATAACTATTTTCTTTTTTTCTTCTATAATGTCAGATTTTAATAAGAATCACATTATGGAAAACCGTCTGATACATACACATGAGGAACCATTATACTTTTAGTACAACCAATTATATTACATTTGTTTTCTTATTTTAGATGAACTTTCTTACTTCGGTTGGAGGAGATGAGAAACAACTTACAGCGGCAATATTAATACAGCTAATAGCCAAAGAACTATGTTTTTCATACTCAGCGTATGGAAGGAAACAAAAACGTTCTGCAAGGTTGTTATAGGTAAAGCACATCATTTGTATTCTACATCCCATTTCCTTTTAATAAATAAATATTTTAACAAAAGCTAATTATTTTACAATATTTACACGTGAAAAATTATATATTTCAAAATTATATTTTGATGATATTGAAAAAACATTTTTTAAAACTGCGTTTAGTTATTTATCGTTGTATTCGTTCATTTCGAAATCGCTACTGACAAAAGTATTAAAGAAAAAATTGGTAGGTTTCTGGCGACAGCCATTAAAAGAGATTATGGAAGAAAAATAGAACCGACCAACGCCCAATACTGAGCAATGAAACAAGTATTGCCAAATTAATAAAAGTCGATGCCCACTATCTCATAGTGAGAGTATAATACAGTAGTTTATATATATATATATATATATATATATATATATATATATATATATATATATATATATATATATATATATATATATATATATATATATATATATATATATATATATATATATATATATATATATATATATATATATATATATATATATATATATATATATATATATACATACATACATATTTTTTGTATCTGAATTTAAATAGCATTGATTTTATTTTGTTAGACTTTGGTTTTAGAAAACTCTATACCTCTTTTTTTTATTTGTATCTGTTTCATATAACTTCAAATAAATTTAATGATTTCGAATTTTTTTATTATTGGCAACTTGTTCAAATTGCAACGTTGGCCTAATATAGTTTACAATATTACGTCAATATTGTAAACAATATCGCCCCAATATTGCGCCAATATTGCTTTGAATTGCTGATAAAAGATTTAATACATGTTTGATTAAAGAGGTTTATTTTAGAAAAACAAAAATTATTATTATAATTATCAAAATAATATATTTGCTTTACCCTGCTAATTTAATTAATTTTTAACAGTAAGTATTGTATTTCTGAATAAATACTTTATAGCAGTTTTTACGTACAGTTTTTATAGCAGTGTTTACGTACAGTACACTTTTCAGATTAACCATAAATACTAATCTCGATACCATTTAAATGTGTTCAAGTTTTAATTTTTTTAAATTTTGATAATAAAAATATGATAATTAATGCTGAGATAATTACACAGAAAATTATTTTCATATTGTTATCAATGGTGGAGTGAAACATTTGTATTTGGGTAATTATTGTTATAAATTTTCTTCTTTTAATCTCATTTTAACATGCGGGTTGCGCAGGGTTGTGCAACTATTTTATATTGCTTTAACAAAATCAAAATTTATAGCTAAGTTTAGTTTTTTTAATATTAATAAGAAGTAATATTTCGAATAATTTACAAACGAATATCATATCGGTAATGCCTAATACTCATGCAGATAAAGCTGCCATAGCAACCTTTTAAATTTGATTGTTATTCACTCTGAGCAATATAGTATAATATTTTAAATCAAATTAACTGCGGAAAATGAATTTCAATAAACTGGTCGCTTTGCTTATATTTTGACAAACGTAAGTATATTTTTAATTTAAAATCGGAATGTTAATTTTTCAAATATATTCACGAAGCATCTGCTATGCATTAAGTGTTTAAAAATATCAAATTGTAAAGTAAGTAAAATAAAATGTATTTTGAAATTTTCATTCATAGAAAGCATAGAGAGTCTTCAACAAAAACTCAAGTAAATGATTATATTGCAAATATTGAAAAGGCCTCTCCATTGGTAAATAAATGCCAAACAATATGTATAGGGAATGCAAGCAATTGTTAAGCAGTTCTTTTTATATATTTGTAGTATACACTATAGCTGTAATCTTCTTGTATATTCACATTTTTAGTACTAATTTGTAAATTAATACTAAAAATATTAAAAGCTACTTTTTATTTTAGTCAAAATAACCATAGCTAATAAAGGCTAATAAATGCTCTTACTGTTTTTCCAAAAATTGTTTTCAGCTTATTTTCTAGCACAATATGATTAATTATGACTTTTAATTATTACTACTTAATAAGACTTTTAACTTTGTGATTTTAATCATAATACAAACATTCAACTGTATAATTTTAATTATGACAGTTATATACAAACATTTGACTATATGAGATTAATGAGCTAGCGAGTAAAATAACTTACATACCACAAATGTAGTTTGATGAGAGGATAAGAATATTTACTCTTCAAAGTTTAGGAAATATAAAAATATTAACTTTTCTAAATATGTTTAATCCTATTTTTATATTAATAAAAATTTAGTTTTTCTTATTATATTATTATTTTTCATTGTGTTTAGTTTTCATTATTATCTTATTGTTGTTAAAACTACTAAAATTTATGTTTATTTCAGAATAATAAAAATGAATACATGAGAAAAACTAGTTCTTGAGGGAACGGCGCCAAAGTAATCGAGCCTTAAACAATATACTTATAAATAAAAAAAATTGACAACTCATCACATGTCAAATCCATTATTAGTTGAGTTGAGAGTTGCATTAATTTCAAAAAATTTGAATTTGAGAACTATAGTGACTTTTATTTTGTGTCTGATTAAAAGACAACGGGGAGAACAGTAAATTGGTAAGTTATATTTATAATTTCTATTTTTAAAGTTTGTCTATTTAATAGAATGCTATTTAAGTTCATCGTTTTCTTGGTGAGCCTATTTAAATCATTCTTACATTTTACCACAATTTGGTGTAAAAAGTAAATTCCTACTTATAAATTGAGAATTAACCATTTACATTCTGTAGAGTTTTTTACAGTCTTGTATTTTTGTAAAACTATTTTGTGTTATATTTCGTCTAGCAATTATTATTTTGTTGCTTTTATAGAATAACTGTGAAAAATAACCAAATAAATTTAATCCTGTCTTATTCCAACATGAAATTTTCTCTAAACTTTTATTTATGTTTTAGCTTTGTCACCTCATAAAAGCAGATGGAAAAATGTTAAAGCAAATACAAAAAAAGTTATAATTAGGTATGTATTTTTGTTAAACTCTGAATAATCAAACTGTTTAAATTGTGAGTAAATTTTATAGAAAAATCTAGCCCAAGGAAAGTAATTTCGAAAAACAAGCAATTTTAATATTAATGTTTGGGGTGAACGTTGATGCTTATTGAATGGGACAAAATTAAATTTACATACAAGCATCTAAGGTTAGTTAGATATCCAAACTCATGTGGTAAGAAATGTTAAACACAATAACTTAACAGACCAAATCATTATTCCTATCATGGACTGAATATGATGGGCCAAACATAACGTTAGAAATGTTGCATTAATGGGAACTAATAGCACATTTGGAATGGTGAAAACATTTTTTTTGTTTTGGTGCGAGAAGTTAAGTTTAACTTATTTTTGAGCTTTTTGTAAATTTAACCATTAACTCTCACATACTGTGAGAATAAATGGTTTTCCAATAATATTCAATGTATAAATTAAGCAACTTTATCAACTTTTAAAAAGCATTTTACAAAACTACCCCATTCATTTAGGTTCTCCCCTACAAGTTTCAACTTTAATTCAATGTCGAAACTTTGAATTTATAAGTTTATAAAAAAAATAAAGAACTTTTCCAAATTATACTTTGTGACTTATTACTCTAAGGTGTATTTACGATTATTTAAATAAGTTCGCTGGATCACTTAATGTAAAATAACAAAGTAGTTATTTTCCATTTATTATTTGTTATTACGTTTTTATAGAATTATGGAGCATCATGTTCAATATGAAAAGCCCAAGTTCAATATGAAAAGCAATATGAGCCCATGTTCAATATGAAAAGAAAAATTCGTGGTGATATAAAGGTGTCATTCGAAAATAAAAAGTTGTGTAAAGCAATAATTTTGGTACGTTGATAATAGCTCAACATTGTTCTATCTATCCCTTCTTCCTTACATTATAAACAAATTAAATTTTTAACTGTTATCTCATTTACAGTATCCCATGTTGTATTTTAGAAGTCATCCAGCTAACGCACGAAAGTTTAACGGAAGCTTACAAAAGATCAAATAGGAAGCATTTTAAAGTTTTTTGTAAATTAATAATACAAAAGAATATATAATACATCTTTAAAAAAAATCTCTAAAAACATTTATTGTATTTTTAGTTTGAATATCTCTAAAACTATTTTTCTAACCCTTTGTAAGGGGTTAAAAACCTTTATTATTTTTATTAACTTTGAGTATTGATTGTAATTGTGTTTAACATTTAATGGTAATATATACGGTTATATTCATATAATAACCATGACACGAAGCCGCGTATAAAAAGCTTTGGCTAAGGATTTTATGAAAATAACAATAGCTATATTAACATTGAATATTACACAATTACAATCATTATTTTACATTAAAATAAAACGCTAATGTTTTTCCAACTTGTATTTACATTAGTATAACGATAATCTAACTTTAGAATTTTACGTTAATATAACGTTAATGTCTAACGTAAATTTAACGTAAGCATTTTACGTTACAAAACCTTTCCATTTTGCCAAACCGGCAACGTTATACTAACATAAAATCTAACGTAAATAAAACGTTAATACAGCGTTGCCTGCTGGGTTCATGTGAATAAAAATTTCAGCGATTTTGCTAAAGTTTTTATTCACATAAAGCTAAGCCATTACTGAGTTAATTGCTTAACTTAACGATAAAAAAAAATTGTGCAAAATTTTTTAAGTTTTTTTTTGAGTAAAACTGACTAATTAATAAGTGAAAGCATTCACTTATTTTTATTGACCAGGCCTATCAAGTTTAGTAAAATTATATAACGCACATGCTTAAAATTATATGACGCATTATGGTTTGCACCGTAGTGTAAACTGCTTTTTCAAAAAATAAAAAAGCATATTACTCAAAAAACAAAAACTTTTATCTGTAGTTCATTGCATGTTTGATTGAAATAATAGAGTGCTTACTACGTTGATAAAAGACAACCTCAACAAAAACAAAAAAAGGATTTCGTGTACGTGGCGTAAATTCTGATAATCATGTGACTAACATTTTTGCTTTTGCAAATTTGATTCATAAATGCAACAATTACAAACATGTTTATAACATTGAAAAAAAATTTCATAAAACTTTTTAAATAAATTTACTTAATTTAAATCAATACGTTTTGTATTCTGTACGTAGTCTAGAAAATATTTACAATATTAAAATATTTAGGAAGTTACTTGTTAAGCAAACATGAAAGTAACTTCATAATGTATATAATAAAATAACTTCATAAGTTATGTAATATAAAGTTAAAATTATTTTTAAATTAATTAATATATGGCAGAGAAAAAGTAACCTTAAAAAAAGATATAAATTTTTTTAAATCTAAAATGCAGCTATTCTTGATGACAAAGACCTATATTATTGAAAAATATAAGGAAATAAGATTGAAGATTGAAAATCAATTCAAGTTTCTAACTCACAGAAGTTTAAAATAAGCAAACAAACATCTAAAGCTATGAAATATTTAAAATAGTATCACTAATTTTAACTTTCACACTTCACTTGCAAATCGATAAATTAAAGTTATACCCTATAGTCAAAAAACTGTACAGATAAAAGGTTGATAAATTGATCAATAAAGTACAACAAGAATAAAGTACCACACGGTATTATAATTTTAAAACTGATTCAAAATACTTTTTGAAAAAAAAATTATTAGGCAATAAAAATAATTCTAATAAGTCAGATATATATATTATGTTTAAATTTTTTATAAAATTGTATACTAAATGCTCACTTCTGTAATGAAGTATCATTGTGAAAATATATTTTTAAACACAGTAAAAATTAAAATTAATGCTAATAAATACACTTGCATTTTGAAAAATTACTGAGCAAGTATTTACTCCAAAAAGCTTTCCAACAGTGTAATTAAAAATTTATAACCGCGTAATTAAAGTAGATCATGGCGGGATCTGATTCTACTATTTGGCAACCACTATTCAGAATCAGATCATTATAAAAAAAATATGATTGGGATATATTAATTATGTTGGGAACAGATAATCTCATATGATTTTGAGCCTCAATTGCTTTTCTAAATGGTATAAAAATCGATCTAATCAAAAAAGTAGATTAAAATAAATAATGAAAAATATTTGCCATTTTTACAAAAATATATAAGCACATTTGATTTAAAGTTTCTTTTAATTTTTATGTTTTGTTGAAACAAATAAATGCTGATGAAAAATTGAGCTAACCAATAATTTAAAACATCAAATTAAGTGGGTCGATAATATCTACATACGAAAAAAAAAATTATCACAGAAAAGTTAAATTTTTCATCCTTAACTATACCTACTAAAAACTTGAAAACTACTGAAAAAAAGAAATTTGAGAAAATCAAAAATATATTGTTAATTTATTGATACCTGGACAGCTGATTTGATTGCAACTTTCTACTTTAATTACTTTTATTGTTTCATGTTGTGAATATTTACTTCTATAGCCCAGTCCACATGTTACTGAACACTCACCCCAAATTGTCCATTTTTCTGAGAAGTAGATATATATATAAATATATATATATATATATATATATATATATATATATATATATATATATATATATATATATATATATATATATATATATATATATATATATATATATATATATATATATATATATATATATAATTAACATTTATTATACTATTATTGTAGTATAGTACATGCCAATAATATGCAATGAAAGCACCATAAAATATTTTAAGGAAAATTTTGATTAAAAGTTTTAGTGCAAAAATTTCTTTTATAAAATTTAATAAAATTTAATAAAATTACTTTAATAAAATTTCTTTAATAAAATTTTAATTTTAATTTAAAATTATTGAAAATAAAAAATCAAAAAATAAAATACCTTAAAATAACTTAAATAAAATTGATTTGTTTCTAATTTTTTTACTTTGTTTCATTATTATAATAAAGTAATTTTTAGTTAAGTTTTAAAATATATAGTTAAAAATCAGGTTAAATGGTTGCAATGGTTCCAGAGGAAACCTTTTGGAGATATGATTATATACACAAGGTAGATTAAATTAGCATAATATTAAAATGTTTTTATTTTATTTTAGGGAGAAAATAAATTTTAATGATTTCACTTAAAATACCTTAAAACAGCAAGTGTCACATAAGATTTTTTTTCTTTTAACATAAAGTTTTTCAAAACAATTTTAAGAGAAGTACTTAAATAATTTTACAAAACAAAGCGTGGGTTTATATTGTTTTAATAAAGAAAGGAGTTTGTTAAAAGTGTTATATTATATACAGTAGTTGTTACTTTATAAATGGCTTTATCTGGATTATCTTGATTTTCCAATTTTTGAGTTTTAATTACGGTTTATATTTTTTTTAAATTACGTTTTTATAACGGTTTTATTTAAAAGTTTTTATTACGGTTATATTAATTAGTTAACACAAGTTTACAAGAAAGGAAGCAACTAAGCTAAAACCCTTCTTAATTATTGACTTTAAAAATTATTAAAATTAAGAATTATTTACTCGGCACCCAATAAAAAAGAAATGAAATCTGAACGAAGAATATTACCAGAAGAAATATATTTATCTAATTAAACTAAGAAAAAGAACCGATTTGACTTAACAAAAGAAAAAGGAAAAAATTTTTTGTTTACATTTGATTGGGTGTACGATTTGCATTTTGACAACAAGCGTGTTGGTAAGAAATAATATATTGCTTTTGGTGATCGAATTTAGATTTGTTGTTGTATTCATATTATTTAATTGCTCATTGTGGTTATTGTGCATAAGAGAGAGTGGGAAATTGTATAGATAGTTGTATAGTAATATTAGATTATAAGCTATACATTATATTGAGTGACTCTTATACCAATTTAAATAACATTGATGAAGAAATAATAAATATACTTGATTCAAATGAGGTCGATGAGGAATTTTTGCATATGTTGAAATAACTGATCCATTTCACAATATACTTTCTAAAATGAATCTAAAGGTTAGAATCTGCGAAAATAGGTTTTGAAAATAATTCTGAACAGAGCTCTAAAAATAAAATTAATTGTAGATTGCCAAAAACTTATTCCATTTTTGTAGAGTAATTTTTTAGAATGGCAAACATTATGGGATCAATTCAATAATTCAATTCATAACAATGATGACTTAAATGATATTGATCGTTTCAATTAATTTAAAAAACATTTAGGAGGTCAAGAATTGACTACTATTTGTGGTTTAACTTTATCGTCAAAAAAATATATAGAGAAGCAGTTTCTTTCTTGACTAAACGATATGGTAACCCACATATTTTAATCTCTGTACACTTGGATTCATTAATAAAACTTGCGAAAGTAAAAAATATTAAAAATGGTAAAGACTTGAGAAAACTTTATAATGATATGTAGAAGCAAGTGTTTGAAATTTAAAATAACTTAAAGATGAAACTTACACCTACGGTAGTCTTAATTTCAATTTTAAAAGAAAAACAACCAGATGATTTAATTCTGTTAATTTAAAGGAAATTTGCTGGGGAGGTTTGGAAAAAAACTGTTTTTGCTGATATAAAACAACCACTCTTAAACAATGAAATTTCTTCTGAACACAGAGATTACTTAAGGTTTTTGTTGTACGAGAGAATATCAGATAAGGAGGTTAAATTAATTATTTATAGATTTCTTACAGTTGTTTTTGGTTTAACTGGCAGTCCTTTTCTTTTAAATGCCACTTTAAAACATCTTCTTTATAAGTACATTAAAAATTATAAAAAGTTTATTGAAAGGTTAATAGACGATCTCTATAAGGATGACATCATTTTTTGTTTCTTTCTGGAATTGTTTCAAGAAAGAATTTTAAAAGAAAAACATTTTATAAAAAATCCAAAAGTATATTTTTAGACGCAGGGTTTGAATTAAGAAAATGGATTACAAATGATTAGAAATTACAAAATTATTTTAAAAAAAAGGAAACAAAATTAAAAACTCAAAATGTAATCTACAAGTTAATGAACTCAAATTTTTTGAAAGTGAAATTGTGAAAAACGAAAACAATAGTTATAATTTTATAAAAATTTTAGGAATTGAGTGGGATATTTTAAAAGATGAATTTGTTATTGAATTCAAGGATTTTATTAAAAATGCAAGAATCCTAAAAACTACGAAAAAGAAATATTTTAAAGATGGCAGCATTTAACATCAAGAGTAAAAACAATTTTTCAATTAATTTGCAGAAATAAAAGTGGATGGGACGAAATAGTAACATAAGCAATAGAATTAGCTTAGATAGAATTTTTAAAAGATCTTGTGTTATTAATCTTTGTAGAATTCCAAGAATTGTTTTTGTGAGTGTTAATGAAAATAGTAAGTGTGTTCAACTGCAGGTATTCTGTTACAGTTCCAAATTAATTAATTGTGCATTGTGTGTTTTAGTTTCAAAGTCACGTGTTTCACCCTTGAAAGAATACTTAGATTAAAGTATACTTAGATTACTTAGATATACTAAAGTATACTTAAATTACGGTTATTAAGTTGTGTGTTACTGAGCAGACTTGTAGAGGAAGTGTTAAGAATTTTGAGTAGAAGAGTGTAATTTGAGGGTGTAAGTTGCTGGTGTGACTCAGAGGTAGCATTGTATTGGATTAAGGGTAAGAAGAAAACGTGGAAACCATGCTTGGAGAATAAAGTGAATGTCATTAGAAAAAACGTTGAAAGATAAAAATGGAATTATATTAATTGTGAGTTGAACCCAACAGATTTTTCTACTCGAACAAGTAATTTTGTTGATTTAGGATGTTCGTTAAAAGGACCAGAATTTTTGTTAAATATGATTAAAAAGATTAATGAATTTAAAGTTGATAGCAAGTTTCACGTTGATATTATGTCCGAGTGTAAGAGGGAAGAAAATAGAAATGTTTGTAATACTGTTTTGGACCCATCACCAAGTTTAAGTAGATGCATGTAGATTTATTTCATTTGAAAAGTTAATTATTAGTACTAGATATGTATTTCAATTTATTAACAACTTAGTAAAAACAATTAAAAACTACCATTAAACAAACAAGTAAACTTGATGACAGATGAGTATAAAATTGCACTCAATGAATGGATTAGAGACGAGCAAAGAATTTTACGAAACGAAAAAGGATTTGATAATCTGAAAAACTCCTAAAAGTTATTTAATGGTGGAGAAAAGCTACTACGATTACGAGGAGGATTTGAAAATGCTAACATAAACATTACAGAAAAACATCCTTTAATATTACATGGCAAAGAGAGTTGGTTTGCTATATTACTTATTCAAAGCTGTCATGAACAAGTTTTAGATCATGGAATTGAATCGACGTTAAATGAAGTACATTCGCAATTCAAGATAATAAAAAGAAGATTGACGATAAAATGTATTATTAGACCATGTGTAACATGCAAGAAATTCTTATTGGCGAGGATTACACTGAAGAAGCATTAATACTATACCATTTGATGCTTGGACGAAATATTCATAACAAAATGAATGGAGTTCGGGTACTACCTGAAGATATTTCGAAAAGAACTATATTTCTTAAAACAACGGTATTTAACTTGTGGAAAAGATTTACAACTTCTTATCTTAATGAATTTAAGCAATACCATTTATATCCTAAAAATAAAACTTCATAGACCAAACAACTTACATGAAATGATATCAAGATCCCTAGAAGTCAATGGAGTTTGGGAAAAGTTTTAAAACTTATAAGAGGAACTGATGGAAAATTAAGAGGTGCGCGTTTACAAATATTTTTTATTCAAAGAGGAACTACAACAACCTGTTTCCGACCTATCCAAAATTAATATTCTTTGAAATTACCAACAAAGCAAACAAAATAGATGAAGATAAAAATGCGATTTTTGAATTATTAGTGAAAGTGGCAGGTCAATTTGTGAGCGGCCGATCAGACAGGCAGCAAGCGCAGGCGAAAATTAACGGCGCCTATAAAAGTTATATTATTAGTTGACCAAGTCAACATAAGGGTGTATGTTAAAAGTATTATATTATATACGGCTTTTTGTTACTTTAGAACGGATTTTTTTTGGATATTCTTGATTATAGAGTTGTTGATTGTAAAGATTTTTATAACAGTAATATTAGTTAATTAACACGAGTTGGGTTAATAATAAAGTTTTTTTTTTTTATTCGATTCACTACCATTAAGACTGCAAGTAACCATGAATAAGTTGGGAGTTACTAGAAAAAAATAATAGAGTTATAAAGCAAGAAAACGGTTGACAAATTATTTGAAAAGTTGAAGGTTTCATCAGTCAGGAAACATGAAGATCGGAGAGAATTCTAAAAGGTCGAAGTGTGGGGAAAAAAAACTAGATGAATAGAAGTTTTTAAAGCATCCATGGACAGATACAGTAGAAGATTGAGACTTTGCTTAATGACAAGTCAAGCAAGAATGAGTTTTAGTTGATGGAATTAGATTTTATAGCTCCATTGAGCAGCGACCATGAAACAAGACAAGACCAAGATTAAAACCATGAGG